CAATGTAAATCTTTCAACCATTTCAAGTATTTGTTTAAAAGCCTCCCAGAACACGTGTGCTCCCAACAAAACTGAAGAATGAAATGTTTAGACCACTGAAGCTCAACAGCTGACTTATAATCAACCTAATACGAGAACACCACTTTCGTTTTTTGGACCTGTGAATACATTTTATTTACCAATGCATGAGAAGAACAAACAGAGAAAGTCCAGTTCTGCAGACCTGATGTGAAATGGTACAGCGATAAGAGTCAGTACATGTAATGCTGCGATCATAGCAAGCACAGTATCAGAGAAACTGCTGGTCAGTGATTTCATATGCCTCACCATTTATTCTTGCACGGGAGGAAAATCTTCTGGGGTACAAATTAAAGAGAAAAAAACCAACAAACCTAACAGCCTTCAACTGGAATTATTCGAAATGAAGAAATTAAAGGCACAGAGAAATCCTGACATTTAGATAGCAAGTGCATTTGTGTATGTGGATTAAAGACGTTACAAATTTTGATCACCTGATAAGAATATTTATAAAGCCATTTAATTTGAAAATTAAGGTATCTTGTAAAACATCCTGTGATTTGGAATAAATAAATAAATAAATGCGTCTGTGAAAACATATTGACATTACTAAACTATTTCAATATGATGGCTTATTTATAAAAGCAGTTTTAATATTCCCCTACATTAATGATTAACTAACGAATCTTACTTTCTTGTGAATATATTTAAAGAGGAATCAAACCAACTTCATCTACAGGATTCCACAAGACTGAGCTGGCTCTGAACTTTTCAAATATCAGCAGTTTTCCCAACACTAGTAGCGAAAACCGTGCTACCAATTTTGGGCTGTGGGCTGAATGAAAAACAGTACTAAATGACTAAAGGTCCACAGTTCTTCTCTGTTAAAGTTGATTTGTCACAATATTGTTAATTAGTGAGGGCTTAGGGAAGGCTTACTATGAATATAATTACAGTGCTGAAAAGCATTAATAACGCTCTTATCCCGAGCCAACATGATGCTATTTACATATTTTACCCTGGCATATACCAGAAATGGCTCCCAATGCATAACGTGCTGCAGGATCATCAAGAGAAACACACAAAATCTCACAGGGGAAGGACGTTTCTGAGGATCTCAGTGCTCTTCAAGACAGCAGGGACACTGATCTGACCAGTAATTACGACTGTCACCATAAGCATTGCCTATGGTGAGCCACCTTTCATCGTGAACTGCTGTTCCATCGGGAGGGAAATGAATTGCTACTCCTGGTACATAATCTGATGCAATCTCATCCTTCTCTCATAAATCAGGACAGAAGTGACAATTGCATTTGTCTGCTATATAGGGCAGGCTTCTTTTCACCTTCAGAGCTCTGCATGGACATCAATCAGTTCTCAATGAATAAACTATATGATAAAAGCCAATTAACCCTTGTTATCATTATCGCCTATTTCTACATGCCAGACCAGAATTCCTGTGCTCGTTACACTGAAAGGCAAAACTCAGACTGAGTTCAATGGGGCCAGAAATTCACCTGAAGGCACTAAAGGCTGGGCCTGCTTTACTGGACCTGTGTGACTTTTGCTGTTCACTTCAGCTGGTGAAGAAGCGAAAGTGTTTTGACGTTAGGCACACAGATGCTTTTGCAAACTCCCCCGAGGAGCCTAGGCACCTCTTCAGGGGCTGCATACCTTTTATGACTGTCACTAAGGGATTTGCCAAAGACCACACACCAGGTTGTTAGCAAGGAAGAGTGAGAACCCAACCGTTTCCAAATCTTCGCCTCTCAGCACAGTAAATTTCCCAAGGTCCTTTTCAAAGAAGACAAACGTTTCTAGCTGAATTTTAAAAATCAACACCTAATTTAATTATGATTCAAAGTCATTTATCTACAGGATGATAAAAACCCCTAACTAAAAAGCTCACTGAATTTCAGGTTACTTGGTACAAGTTATAAGACAGAGTCAGGAAATATTTTTTTGCTTAGGTACAATGTGTCAAAAGGAAAATTATGTAGCAAAATTATCACCTAATTTTACCGAATTGAGTATTACCCACAACCAGATGTATCTGACACTAAGCCTGCTGGACTGCTTTTGTCTGGCCGATCCTACTTTCCTAAACAAAGCCAGCTGACACAAGAGGATGGAGGTCAAACAGTCTTGCTGTTGAAGCCTGCACTCACAAGATCATTCGCTCAGAGGCGGAAAGACTTGGGGCAAGGTGAGGACTTCTCGATGCTCCTAGGGGAAGGAGGAACTTAGCACATTCATGCATGGAAAACAAGCTCTGATTTAGTAAACTTGCATTTCCAAAGTAGCAAACAAGCTTCCTCATCAAAGCTGCCAAGGAGTAAGAGGGAAGATCTTTACATGGAAAAATAAGTAGTTAAAAGTTAGATTAAAACAATGGGTAAGAATAAATGTATCATTTTCACAGTGAAGGAAAGTTACCTTATTGTCCTACAGGCATCTTTGCCCCAGGTCTTTGCCCATGTTGTTCAACTTAACTAAGAAATCACCTTGAAAAGGGGGTTAATTTGGAGATGGTGATATGAAATATCACCATATTCAGCATGGAGATGCTGATGATACTATGTTACTGTGAGTAGTAAAGATGAGCTGTGAGAAGAGATGGAATAGGAGCTCATGGTCACCAGGGAATGCACGCTAAAGAAACAGATGACATTCAGTACCCATCAATGCAAAGTTATGCTTTCAGAAAGCAGTTCTGTCTTCATACACCCTATGATGAACTCTGAGCTGAATATTGTAACTGAGGAATGAGATCTAGAGTTGTTGTTACTATTACAGAAATATTAATTCCAAGAAATCATCTGTCATAAAGCAAATCCAATGCTAAAAATGATTACAAATAGCGTAGAGAATAAAACAGACAACATCATTATGACAACTGTTAAAGTCACAGTTTGTCCGTATCTTGAATACCAGGCACAAATCTGGTTGTATCTCAGTAAAAACACTGCAGAACTAGAAAAGAAATAGATTAGCATGACAAAGCCAATTAAAAACACGAGACAGCTTCTTTACAAGATACTAGGGGTTCTTTCTAGAAAAGAGATGGTGGAGGAAGGATGCCAAATACGTAAAATCACAAGGGACATGGAAACAATATGAACAGGGAATGGTTGTTCACCGTTTCTCTAATACAAAAACTAGGTGATAGCAAATGAATAGAGCTGGTTCATAACAAAGAAAAGGAAATATTTCTTCACTCAATGCATCATTAACTGTGTAAGTCCTCGTGGCAGGAGCAAGTAGATACTAAAAGTTTAAATGGATTCAAAAACAGGTCATGAAAAAATGCTGCTAAATACAGATACCACCTCTGGCTCGGAAAACCCCTAAATAACAAATTGCTGGGAGACCATTAGGGAGAAAGGTCACTAGTGCTGGCCTGACTTTATACCCTTTCCTAGGCATCTTCTACTGGTTATTGCCAAAGGCAGTCTTTGGACTAGTTGGACCTTTGGTCTAGCACAGTACGGTAGTCCTTACATTTTTATCTTTATTCCTTCCTCACCACTTCCTTAGAGCAGAAATGGTTCAACAGCACTGACAGCTCAGGAGATCTTGTCTTTCACTTAGTGCACTAAAGCTCAATGAGGACAGTAGGGAAAAGAGCAGTTGAGTCGCCCAAGTGCTGGACAGCAGTGCAAAGGGAAATGGTGAAGGGGCTGGGAGCTGGGGGGTGACAGTCCTCTCATCTGAAGTATTAAACTTTCTTCCCATTGAGTAAGTGTGGGGGAGAGAGACTCCAGACTCACTGGCTATCTTAGGATCAACCAAAGGTCAAAAAGGAGCACTTCAGAAGTTTCTAGAAGTGACTTGGGTAAATTTGGCTTGGAGGAATGCTACTCATCTCCCTGCAAGGGGTTAGGTTTGGTCTACTGAAACTAGAAGGAGCTTAGGTCTGCAGATGATGAAGGTTTAACATGGTTAAACCTTCTTGAAAGGTTTAAAACTAGCTTGAAAGGAAAAACAGGCATTGAAATGTCTCCCCCTATATAAAATTAAAATTTCATTTTCTTCAGCTAGACTGCTCTATCATGACATCTATACAAGCAAACGTTAAGAGGGAAGACAGCATAACAACATTAAACACAAAGCAGAGTAGGCAAGCGGAAGCCTTAGGAGCTACAGCCACCCTGCCTGAGCTGGCTGGTCCTGGGAGTAGCTTAAAGCCACCGTGCTCCTGAGATTCATTACTGAATTTGGGCTGCTTAGAGATTACAGCTGCCTTCTTGAGCAGGTTTATACGAGTGCCGACCTGACCCTTTTGCTCACCTTTGGTCATGTAAGAAAGACATACCAAATACAGGGAGATGTTTGGGTCACAAATGTATCTCTAGGTCCGACTCTCCTGTATCTGTACAGTCTACAAATTTTCCTCCTCACCCCTCAATTTCTCCCCTCCCTGTAGGAGTCTATTGAGCCTTTGAGTTCAGTCCCAGGGCACCTCAGGAGTACACAAAGCAGAGGGTTGGCAGTCTGGCCTCAAGCCTAACCTGGATGGTACTCCTGCACTGCAGAGCAATCAGAGGTCTAGAAGAAGCAGGCAAAAAGTCTTGTAGGAAAGGGGTGAGTAACTCACCTTACACTGAAAAGGCGAATTTTGACTCTATAAGGTGGTTTCTGAATATTTGAGAGATTTTCTCTCGTAGGAAAGGACAGAGGAGTGACTAAAAACAATACAGGAAACCTTTGCCACTGTCTGAGATACTGTACAATGTCACAAGGCTTTCATGTTGCAATTTAGGAAGCTGTACCTCCAGTAAAATCTAACTGTACATTTCTTTTTAATGTACACTGACAACGCCTATTTTAGTTGAATAGGCAGTAGCTATTCAACTGTTGTATAACGCTCTACATGTATCTTTCCCTTAGATGTAGCCACAGTCACTAGCTGCAATTCAACGGGCTATAAGTAAGGAGGAAAAAATCTCCACTATACTAGCCAGAGATATTTCTTGAATGTGAACCTACTTTATCAATTAATATATTTAACATACAAATACTGGACTGTTTGCAGTCTCACAAATAATGTAAGGGATTTAAATTTTGAAACTGCTTTGCAGGATTTTGCACCTGAAGCCTGTAGTATTTGAAAACATGATCAAGCTGTGCCTTGCAGCAGACTATAGTCTAGTAACACCGAGAGGACAGACTGTTAAAATAAGCATCTACATCATTTTTCACAGTACACAGTGCCACAATGCATCTGCTTAAAAACAAATATATGTTTGCAGTGAAACATTTCAACAAATCACAGAACTCAGCAGCAAAGTAGTTAAACATTTATGATTTGATTTTATCTCAGCTTGGAATGTCGCTGGAGTGTCCCACTTCTAACAACTGTTTGCTAAGTTAAGGCTTTAGTGTTTACACAGTGCTGAATGAAGCAGCCTGGTCACCAGATGTGAATGCTTCCTTAGACTAGAGCTTTCAATCAGATCACGGTCCTAATGGTCCCTGCTCCAACCTTCTTCCTCAGGACGTCCACCAGCCTTTCCAACCTGAGAGGGGGCAGGGGAGAGGGAGAGGAGAGAAAAAAAAAAGGAAGCTAACGTTAGGAATGTTCTGGCTGAAAGAGACAGTGTTTGCACTGAACCAAGCTGTCCTGGTGGTGGTCACGCTCAGAAACAAAGCACTACTGTAAAAGACAGACATTAAGGGAAAATGCAGACAACTTACAGAAAACTTTTTAACCTACAACCCAACCCATTTGCAGTCAGTGACATATATCAACTCACTTTTCTTTTGTAGTATATGAGTATCTGAGGTCCCCGTAAGGCATTAGCACAAAACCCTGTGCAGCAATCCTGTGGCACATATACACTGCGGTGTAAGCAGGACATTCAATTCTTGCACTTTTTAAAATATTAGTGGTCCATGGCTCTTGTTAAATGTAACATTTAACTGTTGTTTCCCCTTAAAAAATACCCTGCCCGTTATCCAACAGATACTTTTATTGTCCAGTTTATAAATTTATGCCTAAACCCCCATGTGTTTTATGTAAAAAACTTTTTAAAAATACTCAACAAGCCAAGTTTCTGAGGATGTGGACGATGATATTTTCAAGGTGGCCCATATGATTATTATGTCGACACAACTACAGAAAAATTAACAGTCTAAAGAAGTGGGACAGAGAGCCACCTAATCCTCTCTTAGTTTTAAGGCACAGGTTATAAGCATGTCCAGCATCTCACTGGCTTAATTTGTTCTTTCCTTTTGTTAAAGTATGTAGGCAAATGCAAAGGGCTAAGTTTGTTCAGGGTTTTCCATTTGCACGCATTTATCTTCAGCACTCCAGTAATCATGCATTCAAGCTATTTCTCCAATTTATCTGTACTTTATGGAATCCTTCAATGAAAGCTCTCCCACAAATAAACTAACTATATAAAAGCAGACACTGTGTGTAGTAGAACACTTTTAGAGCCATGTCCAGCATATTATACACACAACTTCCGTAACGGATAAAAAGAGTTGCAGGTTCAAATAGCTGTATTCACTGTTGCAAAGTTGATCATTTTTTCTTATGAAAAGACAGTATACACACAACTTCCGTAACGGATAAAAAGAGTTGCAGGTTCAAATAGCTGTATTCACTGTTGCAAAGTTGATCATTTTTTCTTATCTGAAAAGACAGGGTTTTTTTTTAATATATTATACAACATGAGCAATGCAGATAGGAAATAAAAATAACACAGCTTTATCAAAACTGCAAAATTCATTTTACCTCATGGATGCATTAGGAACTTCAGTGCAGGAAAACTAGTTAACACATCTTGGATTTATTGCCACAAGTCATGACTAACGCACATGGTACGTATTGAAAGACTCCTGTTTTCCAGGAACCACCAAGCACCATGAAGCTACACCTTTCATTGTACTCACCAGGTGACTTAATTCCTGAAATGAGATTAAGAATTCACCACCCTAATGTAATTATCAGACACCAGGAAATGTATGTGGAAAGTTCAGCTGTCTCTAGCTGTTGCACAGGGACTCTAAAGCAGTGAAAGCACAGGTGAAAAACTACTGCTTAGCTACTCCTCTCCCTTCAGTTTTCCATGTATCGCTTTTCCTTTTTAACCAAAACTAGTGCATTTTTCCTGTTTTTGTAACATACATCTACTGCACTTCTTCGTCTTTATGGAGGCAGCACCCACACAGTCAAAACTCAGTGCAGTCAGTCCATGCAAGTATAAAGTCAGAGCTTTCACAAGGTATTTGCCCCTGAAAGTTTTCTCACAGTGGATAAATCAATGGTTTCTGGGTTCTAAGGGTTTTAACTCAGCTACTGATAGGTCACAGTTTCCTCAGCCTCTCTTTCCGAGAAGTTTCCCTGTTAAATCAGTTAGTCCCTGTGCAATTTCAGAAAGCAATGGCAGATCAGTCCTCACTTTTAACAGCATGTATGTTCAGAAGCATTGCAGTTTTCTCAGCCACTTTAACTATCACTGGAGGTCTCTTTCTCTCTCACACTAGCACTCTCTCTAATGTGCTTCAGAGACATAAAGCACAGGAGAAACATTTCAAACTGTCTGGACAAACAGAAGGTTTGGGCTGCAAATTGTTTTCTGGGAGACAGCAGAAAAGTAGTAAAAAATACTAGTAAAAAATAGCTTATTTAAATCACTGTTCAGCTAAAAAGAAATACTACGTGGCTTATACAAGTAGGGGAAAAATGACTTCAAGAATTGAGGTTTCATTTGGGGAGACACAGGTTGGAGGTCACTGCTTACACACTGTCCTGCAATCGGGCTTAGATGTGCACCACTCTGTGACCAAGCAATGACACTGCACACCAGAGCAGACAAGTTAGCGAAGAGCTTCCCATGTTTGAAGAGAAATACCACTGGGATGAAAGTAGCTGTCTTCTGTTTAACCTTGAAACTGTCAGGCTTCATTGAAAATAATGAGGCTTAACAATCATAGCTTCTGCTTTTCAAATGAATGATGACTGAAATCATCAAAATGAGGTATCCCGCACCAAATACAAACTGTGCAGGGCTTATTTGCCTTTTGTTTCAGCCATGTGTGGATTTGCAAATTTATTTATTCTTTATTAGAAGAAAGAAAAAAAAAAGCTGCAGAGGATTAAGAAACCATACCTTTGAAAGAGATTTAAACAATAATGTAAAAGAGAAACTGTAACAGCTATTTATAAGATAAAATAACAGAGGGCAAAATTCACCCCTACACAGACACAAGACCCAATATACCACTGAAATCCCACTTAAGCCTACAAAATAATGCTATGGGCTGAATCAGTGGTTAATAACTCTTGATACAGGCCTCAGGGGGCTTTTCGGAACGATAATCCTGGACTCTTTGTTCGCCAAGGGCCCAACTCTGCCATCCCGACTCACACTAGGCAACATTTTTCTTTGTGAGTAATAAAAGGCAGCTAACAAGGCCGTTCGTGTCAATGAGGTACTACCTGCAAGGGGCGAGGGTGGCAGAATCACCCCTTGTCAATAAGGCTCTGTACCCAGCCTGGCGGGATGCTGCAGGCAGCTCCTTTTGGAGGCTGAGCATTTTTATCTGCGGTAAACTGAAGGAATAGTGTTATACCTCAAGATCAAAGGTAACTTAAATATCTAAACAGACGAATGGGAGGTGGTGGGAACTACCCTAAAAGTCTCAAATACTCTGTTTGCAGAGTTTTATTCAAAATACGGAAGACACTGACCTGAAGAAAGCAACTTTCATTACTTTGTGCAATCATGATGTATCTGCCTATATAATCTCACCGTATTTTACTTAACTGAAAGCAATACTGACTATGTTTGACCATGTACTAAGACACAGATTTAACAAATGACATTTGTCTTTTTGCTTGTAAAGGAAACAGTCCTCATAGTATAAATTAAATGTACAATATGACACTATCTTCTCCTGAGATGTAAGAAAGAATCTCACTGAATCTGCATTTCATGAAGCAACCAAACATGTCATTCAAGAAGAAAGTATTTCAGCTGGTGTTTTAGGTCAGACAGAAGAATGATATGGTGGGCAACTCAGCTGCAGTGCTGAAGGTCCAAATGTGCAAGGACAGACAGACATGTTTAGGAATGTTCAACAAAGCCTCTTAAGGTCTCACTCCTCACTCTCACAGATTTCAATTTCTTGCTTAGAGATTTTGGAAAATCCCAGTAGGTGACCTTCGCTATTTCTTGGTACTTAAATAATTCTAGAAAATCTGTCCCTTAACAAATAAATTCTCTCAGCAAATGCCACTTCAGCATTCTCTACACAATTACTGTATGTGTGCATGCAAAATGATGACAAAATGACAGGAACAAACTATGACAATTACTGTATGTGTGCATGCAAAATGAGTACAAAATGGCATATAAAATACAGGAACAAACTATTTATTCAGATGGATAGGTACAACTTTGGTTTTATTTATACTGACTTGCACACACCCAAAGTAAAAAAAGTCCTGTGTTTTTCGGGATAGATAGAATTTGCATCCATGAAAAGCACAAAGATGATAACTAGAAATATTCTTTACCTACACTACCTACTTCTTTAAAGCTCATCTCAGTGCTTCCATGAAACGGAAAAATAAAAAACCCCCCACAAATTAGGAAAGGGACATCTGGTCCATCATTATTTTTAAGTTAGCAAAAGACGTATCATTGTGAAGAGTCTTGAATTGCAGTGGCTTGATTCTTCCTCAATACAAATTTGGAATAAATCAGGTGAATCTGTGTTTTAATACAGAAATAAAAATACCTCCTTGAGGGGCTTGATGCTATGGTATTACCAGTTCGAATACGTACTTCTAAAAGCGTTGCTAAGCTTTAAGAAGGTCCTCATCTTCAGAGGAATGCTACCTAAACAAGAACGTTGCTAGGTGTGTCTTCCCCAACACAAATTCTCAACCATTCTCAACTCCCCTTCCAGTGATTTCAAATTGTCTTCTCTTATCACCTATGCATACATCTGACAAAATGCCTGTATGGAATGCATGTTGTTATATGGAGTGTTCTGATGTAGCTCCTGAACTGTCTGACAATCTGCTTGATTTTTAGCAAAGCCTTACAGAGCTTTACTCCCTTGAGTATAAATCATTTTGGTTTTAGAATCAGTCTCCATAAAGCAGACTTAAAATCCTTACTGACAGAGAAGTTTGTTCCGGGAGCCCAGAAGCTGTACGTATAATTTTGCAATAGTATAGTTGCAAAAATGTTATGTACCGGTCTCTAGTGCTGACTCTTATGCGCATTTTTGGCTTGCTCTACTCTTTCACGTATTCTGCTGAAGAAGTCTAGCTCTACACTGCAGCTTGGGATCAGTAAAAACTCTGCAACTGCATAAATCCACATAGATCAGTACATCCTCCCACACTGCTCCATCTCTGGCCAAAGGAACTCACCCCAAAGGAGAGCAGTGGCCTTTATCCACAAGTTCTGAATATGACAGAGTTATACAGTCACAGAGTAATCTTCCATGGCATCATGCCCCAGAAATAGTCAAAATGGATACCCAACTGATAGAA